ACTCGTTTTTTTTTCTGGACATTTCCATCCATTATCCTTTTTTTCCGGCAGCAGGTGCCAGCTTGTTATTTACATTGCTTATCAATGTCATCGTCCATCCCGGTGTTTCATTGTAGACATCACTCAACCCTAATTTAAATGCATTTATTTACTCTGCAAGTAATGTTATGACTCCTTTGTATGTTTCTTTTCATGATATAGGTCTTAAATTTCATTCATAGTGGTCTTAAAAGGTCTTAAAAAGCCGTAAATTTGACTAGTGAAACCTGCAGAAATAAAAGTAAATAGTTATTTTGATTGTTGTTTGACCGTACTTTTTGTTTTTTACAGACTGTGCTTACTTTATAATGAGTGGTCACATCCTTTTTGGTCTCTGGATGGACATGATGTGGCTTATGATGCCATTGTGTTTAAGTAGCAAACTTTTTACTGTGTTTTTTTTTTTGTTTTGTTTTTTGTATTGTGGCTATGCTATTTATTAGAACACTAATGTTGTTTAATCCAGCTGCTTGTGAGACCCACTGTGAGACAGTAAACAGGAACTTCTGGTACAGTCGACCACATGTTGCTGCTAGGGACAGCCTTTAAGAGATCTGCCCGGTGTTGATCGAGAAGGAAGCAGGTAAGATTTGTTGGATTAGATTCATTGTTGGTCAGTGTGACATTATTTTTCAGAGAGATGTATTGTTTCCCCCAGGCTGTGAGACTTTAGAACACTGACTCGGATTCATCCTCAGCACTGCTTAATGAAACATAGTTTATAGTTCATTCTCTTTCATTCTGTTATTGTTTTTTGTTAACTTTAAGTTGTCTGCTTTGCAGCAGAAGTGAGTTACAAACTTAAATGAGAATGAAAACCTACCTTGTGAGCATGCAGTACTGATTGCATGTTCTGTTTGTGTTTACAGCTGTTCAAAGTGAGGCAGAGTGTACTGGCAGAAGATGAAGTGGTGTTCTGAATGGCGTCACTATGGATCTGATGTTGTAAGGAATGGCAGCTTTGAAGGGGGTCACAGTGGATTGTGCGAACCCCAAGTTTCCGCAGCCAGGAGCTCACTGACCTTTGGCACGCTGCAGGCTGGAGGCTAATCCAAGTACAAAGCACTGCATCACAGTGGACAGACATTTCATCCTGCAGCCCAGCATTAGATATGTTTTGTAAATGGTTTGTAAATAGTTTTTCACATTTGCCTTTTTCATTAATGAATTTCTCATGTTCCTCATAAATTCATGTTCTAATAGTGAAGGCCAACAGCATGAATCAACATGTAAGATATCACCTGAATATAGTCTTCAGTAAATGCAGTATTTTTTTAATACAGGGTTATTAATTATATACATTATTGGGTGTGAATGCTGCAAGCAATTAGGAATCGATGGCTATTATTCTGAATTTTGATAACCTTCATACTTTTCAAGATATTCAAGGTTTTCCAGGCATTTTTCCCCATTCAAGTGGATGGACAGAACATTCAAAATTCCATTTTCACCCTTTTTCAAGGTTTTTCAAGTGTCAACTACTTAATCAAACTTTCAGCTAGAAACTCCATTCAAAATGGAAAAGATTCCACATCTTTCCTTCTTTCTTCATATTATTCAACTTTCAAATCCATATCATTCAAACTCACTGATCTTCAATCTCTTCCCACCAATTCATACCTTCACGCAGAAACGTCATTCCACCTTTAAAACGTTCACAAACCTTTGGACTCTTTCCAGTTAATTCAACTTTTTCACATCTCTTATACTTTTTACACAATGTCAATTCAAGTTTCATGTCGTTTTCAGCCTGTTTTCTGAGTTTATAATGGGAGTGGATGGGATGGAATGTTGGGAGTTAGAGTGAGGGGACCAACCGACAGTGGGAATTCACTTCAAAATCTTCTTAAAAATTTTCTTCAACTCGCTGTATCTCCCACAAATTTCACTCTACATACATGATTTTTCACAAGTTATAGGAAAACTTGTTCTGCAACTGATGTCCAACTTTGAAAGCATCGGACTTTCACAGCTGGTACAGTCGGCTTGAGAGTGAGAGGAGTCCCACTAAACTGTTGCATAGACTTCCATACTAAAAAAGTGCTGCAGTTTCAGGAAATGGCAGAAAGATGGACATTTATATACTGCTGCTGTGAAGCCATTTTTGACAGTAGCTTTTAACATCGCCATGGAAACCTGGGAATGCTGGCTTCTCCATGAGATGCTTCCGGAAGTGTCTCATGGAGACGCACCTGGTGCGTCTCACACAGACGCTAAAGGGTACCTTTAGCATCAAATACCTACACTAGTCACTCTTTCTCAAATCGTCGGTATATGATACCCTGAGATGAGAACGGGCTCGTAATCAGACCTTAAGATTCAGAGGAAGGTAGAAAGTTGGTCATTTGTACGTCGCTGCTGTGGACAGTTTTTGCACTACAAACACAACCTCGCACAGGAACTTCAGGTGGATCTTGTCTCTCTCACGGTATGTTTTCTTCAGCGATGTGAGTTAATGTCGTTTGGTAGGAGCCAGAGAAGCAGAGCAGTGCTTCAGGTTAAAACTCAATTCAATTTTATTTATATAGCGCCAAATCACAATAACATCTCCTGCAGGAAGTGATAGGAGGAGAGGAGAGGGACGAGAAAGCACAAGTCTACCGGAAAGGGGAGAAGTTGAGTTAGTAACATGCATTGATGGGATGAGGTTGCATACAGAGGGAGAGAACCTTAGAATGTAGGCACACAGCTGATTGAGAATGATGTTATCAGTGCAGTTTGACTGACAGACACACAAACACACACACACACAAGCTGTCTCTCAATTCAGGGACTGCATCCTTCGAAGGCTGCATTTGAAGACCGAATACATCACAGTCGATGCAACTAGGCTGTCCCATTTCGAAGGCTCCTTCAAATGCGGCCGACAAATGCAGCCTTCTTTTCGTCCGTTTGGAGGATCCAACAGCTGGATCCTTCGCAGCCCCAGCTATCCCGACATTCATTGCGAGCTGGTTGATTGTCCCAGCGTAAATAATGGCGTCGGTTGTGGTTGTGGAGTTGAGCCCCCGGATTTTACCTATAAATGTAAGTATTGGATTTCATTGGATTTTCAAAAGCCAACTACACAAATGTAAAAATAACAAGAGGCATAAAAGCGCAATGTGTCGTTTAAAGAATAGTTTTGTGGAAGAAGTTAACGTGAGTTAAGTGATTAACTGGCGAGCTAACGTTACCTGAGGTTATTGATGTGCTAACATTAACGTTAAGTTAAACTCGGCTTGGCAAGTTACAACCTCAAAAATAAAGCCTTTAACGTTTTCACTTAAAATCAAAGAGGTTCAGAGTCAGACCTGCGTCTTACCGAGATTGTCGCGATATTAAACATCACTAATACTTAATATTATGTACATGAAAATAATGTTACCACGTAACGTTAGACTAATTTAACGTTAGACGGGTTGTGAACCCTGCTTGGTTTTCAAACAGTTAACGTTAGTAACGGTTGCAAAAACCTTGTGATATAGTACACGGTTAATGTAACTAGGTTATTTTGCGATTTATGCTGCTTACTCTTTGGTGATGTGAAGCAAAAAACTTCCTTGAACATGTCGTTTTGTTTTAGGGAGCAAGGAGCAAACTGCCCTGTTCATTAAACTGAGGGGGGAGAGTGACCACCTCTTCACCGGGGCAAAAGCTTCTGCCAACGTGGCTTGGAGGTAATTAAAGTATCAATAGCCCTTTTGTAATATCTGCATTTAATCATCTTGTACTTAAAGTTACAGTTAAATGAGCCGCCATCCTATTCACAGCCTTTAACAATAAGACAACCAGTAGATGGGGCAGCCCTTTGTTGTGTTTTTGTGTCTCTGTCCTGCCCTGTCACCTTTTCCAGTCTTCACAAAATTACCATTTCTTTTGTTTCTCTGTGATTAGGACAATTTTGGAGAAAATGGGCCTGTGGGGGAAGGTGACTTCCCTCTAAGCTAAAAAAGTGGGACAATTAAAAAAAAAAAATACAAAGTATGTATGTTTGATTTGAAATATATATTCTTATATATTCTGTATACATTTTTTTTTATAATTTTTGTATAAATCGTTCACTGTGTAGCATAAAGGGAACTACAAACTACATTCATCTTACAACCCTGTTTTAATATAATACATACATTTACTGTGTACGTTGTATATTCATTTCATTCATTTTAGTCATGCACGTTAATAAACACAGTTGCTGAAATTTGTTTTTCTGCTGTTGTTATTTACCATGATTGATTTCCTGTGCCTTAGGATTGCAAGTGTCCAGGGTCAGGAGAGGGTGTAGGGGGGAAGCCCACTGCTGCAACTTGGCCCTGGTTTGTCCTCATGGATGAGGTGTTGGGACAGAGGCATTCCACCATCCCACCTGTCGTAATTGCCTCTATCCCTGAGGACACACCAGGGCCAAGTACTGCAGTGGGTGACCAGGAGGAGGAGGAGGAAGAGGAGGAGGAGGAGAGCCAGCCGAGAAAGAGAAAGAGGGACAGAGAGGATGAGCTGCTTCAGCTTCTTAAGGAATACAGAGAGAGTTGCAGAGACGGGATGGACAGGCTGTTCTCTCTACTAGAGAGACTGGCCGAAAAATAAATCCTTAAATAATAATATATACAATATTTATTAATCAATTAAAATAAAATATTTGTTAAGTAAATGATTTTATTTTCTGTGGTCTTTTGAACTATTTACAACATATTTACAACATTTATTCCACTGAGCAGGGAGACCCTGGTGATGCTGCTGGACCTGGATGGGCTGCCACAATAAAGACCCTGGTGTATTCTGTCAGCAGGACATCATCTGGGGTGGTCTGGAGTGGACACAGAGTGTGTCGCATCGTCCATCAGTGGGTTTGCAGGGCTGGTTCAATCGACAGCTGCCATTTCACTAAGATGTTTTAGTAAGAGGCAAGAATAATAAGCTGTGCACATAAAATACTAATTCACAATCTTATTTGGACTAAATAAATCTCTACAAAATATTTCAACAGGCAAAATTGTTAGGATATGAATAGGAATTTACCGATCTTTTACTTGCCTGTTAAAAATATTGGTGGTCAGGGAGCACCTCCTCCAGGGCAGACACCTCTGCAGACAGCTGGTCACGCCAGGGAGCACCACTGACTGTCTCCAAACCGTTCTCCCCTCATCCTCTGCCTCATCCTCCTCAGGCTCATCCTCTGGGGCCACAATGTCACCTGCCCCAAGGCAGATGTTGTGGAGGATGGCTCATGCTGTTATGACCTGAAATGGTTAAAAATATATTTCAGTCTAAAAAATATTTTTATGGTTTTTGATGAATCAGTCTGTTGATTTACTCATTAGTATAATTTAAAAAAATACTCACGTGAGGTACAAAGGTGTGGTGCACCTCCAGCGCTTGCAAGAAGATGGCCTGGAACCTGGTCTTCATCATTCCAAAAGCACGTTCTATAATGGACCGTGCCCTGGAGTGATGGCTGTTGAAGCGCTGGGCTCCCACACCTTGTATTGGTGGGTGTTGGAGGCACGGGTACCCTCCGTCTGCAAGGATGAAATGCCCTGGAGGAGGGTAGAGTGAACTCCTGTACAGTGGGCTGTCGTGGACCGACCCAGGCCAGCCCACATAGGTGTCAATGAAGCGGCCCTGATGGTCACAGACAGCCTGCAGGATGATGGATGGAAACAGTTTCCTGTTCCTGTAGCACTGACCATCAGGGCCGCTCGGTGGCTTGATGCGGACGTGGCAGCCGTCGATTGCTCCAGCTGCTTTAAAAAAGGCTCTGTGTCTTGCCAGCCCTGCAAACCCACGGGATATCGGTTGTAACTCATCCTGGGTCTTCGGTAGGTGGATGACCTTGTGGCGAATGGCCACCACCTCCTCAGTGACTCTGTGGACGATGCGGTGGACAGTGGATCGAGGCATTGCAAACACTCTGGAGGCCACCCTGCATGATGCCCCGCTTGCCAGCCACAAGAGAAACACCAGGGTCTCAATCGTGGCACCCCATCCGTGTCTCCGTTCCTGGTTTAGGAGGCCCAGTAGCACTCGTTAAAAAACCTGTCCAGCACAGGCGCAATCAGATTTATCCTGCAGTACAGGAGCCTTGTCTGGTTTAGGGATACAAGGAGAAGAACAACTGTTATGAAGTGTAGAGAGCTTAATTAGATAAGGCTTGTATATCTTTCTATTCAACTTGCTTTAGCTGATCAATGACAAAAACACTGTCAATATTTTAATATTAAAGTAAGGTTAGGGTTTCTTTAAATATGAAATTATGTTGTTAAAGTGAAATGGCAGTAGCAAGAAACTACGTTAACTGTGGTTAACATCACTGTTAGCTTTAGGAAGCCTACTTCCTAAATACATATAAAATGTGACATTTCTTAGTTACTTTCCCCCGTATTTACCTGGCCAGGGTCCTCTCTCAGCCTGAGATACATCATGCGGCGGCGCCGGCGGTGAAGTAGCTCTAGTTCCTCTATTAAGAGGTAAAATATCAAAATTAAAATATTCGTCTCCATGCCGGTGGACCGCAGCTGTGAAGGTTGCTAGGCGACGGAGGAGGAGCGGCGCTTCCCCACGCATGGGTAAGGGCGGGGTCAGTTGATGACGTAATAGACAGTCCTCCGTAGACCAGACCGTCTCATTTCTGCGGCCGCATGCCTTCGTGGGCCGCAGAAGGCCACGCCCTTCGAAGGATGCGGTCCCTGAATTGAGACACAGCTACAGAGAGACACAAACAGATACAAGCACACACACAGACACACAAACACACACACAATTCAAAAAGCCCTATTATGGTAATCTATGGAAAGGCTTCTCAATAGCTCTCGGGACCCAATTTCTTCCACATTAAAGCCCCAGACAGTTAATGCATCTTAACAGGGAATTCGTTTGTGGAGTGCATTTGAGCTTCTTCAGGGATTTGATTTCAGCTCTTCTGCATTATCTTCAGTGTTCTGCAAGTTCAGTGCATTGTTCACAATTGTTATACTTTCCTGTTGTTATATTTCCTGATAGTATAACAATTTAGCTTTCAGCTTTTCAGTGGATTTGAGCTTCTTCAGGCATTTTATTTCTGCTCTTCTGCAGTATTTTGCCAGTTCAGTTTAGCTTTACGCATGTTATACTTTCTTATTGTTTTCTTGTTGTGATACTTTCCTCACAGAATAAAGATTAGATTATATTAGACATTTTACTAACACCGTAATATGAAACAAATTACATATTAACAGTGAACACATTAAGCATAAACGTGAACACTACTAAGCAGTAACCTGGCATTAACAAAACATTTACAAGCAAATCAGTTTATTACCAAATTGATACGTAAATTGAGAACAAACATAAAATAAACAAACTTGACAACTTATAACAGCAAACAAACTATTTACATTTTATTCCCCTTTTTATATAATTATAATTCCCTTTGTACATCCTTGATCTCTGTGATTTTCTTGCCCACAATTTTGATATTTTCGTTCTTTCATTTTGAGATCAAATGGCTCCCATGTTGCCTCATCTATATCAAAAATGTCGAGCATTACTTGGAAACTGCTGGTTTTGCTGCCGCTGTCACTTCCACGGCCGCTTCTGTTGCTGCTGCTGCTGCCTCCGCAGGCCATTTTCATCACCCCGCAATGCATACACACTCATAGGTGTCTTTCGCCTTCTGTTGAGTAAAGTAAACACATTTGATTGATATCACATTTACCAGAATAAAGGACTGACCACATTGTTTCTTTGTTTGTTTAAAGAAAAAGCATGATCTGTTTGACTTTTTCATTATTTTCACCAAGTCACTTCAGCCGCTTTAATCTTAGGTTTACATAATTCTGTATTCTTTAATTTTAAGATATCATGTCACAGTCATACAGCATAGTATTTCAAACTTTGTGAAGTTTGTGGTGTTGAGTGTTTGCCCATATGTGGAATTGTTTAATTTCACGTGGGAGACCTTGACCTGCTCCCCAATGCAGAGGTTGGTGATTGCTGCCTCCCTCCAAAGGGTCAGCTTTGCGGTGACCATGTCCTGTTAAAGATAAAGGAATACCATATTTGTATGAATTGTCACAACAACATCTAGGTGAAAAAAAATAAAGAAATTAATATTTTTTTCCAAATATATAACCTACCTGCTGCGGTGTGACTGATTTCACCGGAACAGAGTCATGATGTAAAAGCTGAATACAAAAGAACCCACCCCAGTCCCAAGTGCAATATCAAACGAAATCAAATATGCTGACAACTATCAAAATTCTATATTTTATTTGTATAAATTTACGTGCCTTTATCCACCTGGATACTGTTTACAGCTTCATTGTATTTATTTGTCACTTTTTAATTTCGGTGCTGCTCAAATTAGGTCTATGTGTCTGCTTCTTGCTGAGCCTTTTGTTTACGCTGTCCTGTGTATGTACATTGAGAGCAACGTACAATCCAAAGTCAATTTCCTAGTATGTACACATACCTGGCCATTAAAGCTGATTCAAATTCTGATATAATGATTATAACTATGTGACTATCCCCTGCCACCCTGTACGCAGGATAAGTGGTTGACGATGGATGGATGGACTGTATATTTGTCATACATTTACACTTACAATATTTCCACCTCTTTAAACTTGTGTATATATGCTGCTCAGTAGAGTGGATTGCTGCCAAATCAAAATGCATTGAGTTGTATATGTAATGACAATAAAGCATCTAATTTTATCACCTTCATACCACATTCACTCCAGCCATTTACAGAAGTAAATAGAGAATGCACACTAATCACGAGAGCCAGTTTAACATCTCAATACTAGATAGATAGATATATACTTTAATTATCCCGAAGGAAATTCAAGTATCTAGTAGCATACGAAACATACATACATTAAACCTATATTAAAATAGAATTAAAATAGCTTATAACACAGTAGCCACAGTAAAAAACAGTAAACAGTGCAAATGGAGTGCAAATGGAAGTAAAGAGTACAGATTTTGTCTGTTGTCCTTCCTGCCATGACTAGGAGCTGTTGTACAGTCTGATGGCCAGGGGGACGAAAGAGTTTTTAAGTCTGTTGGTGAAGCTGGGCTGGGACAGCAGTCTGCCACTGAACACACTCCTCTGCCCGATGAAGGTGTTGTGCAGAGGGTCGTGGGCGTTGTCAAGTATGGACAACAGTTTGTCCAGGGTCCTTCTTTCTGCCACTGTCACCAGAGAGTCCAGGTCTGAGCCCACCACTGAGCCAGCTCTCCTCAACAGTCTGTCCAGTCGAACAGCATCTCTCTTCTTGCTGGTTCCTCCCCAGCAAACTACAGCATAAAAGAGGACGCTGGCCACCACAGACTGGTAAAACATCTGCAGCAGTTTTTTGCAGGACCTCAGCCTTCTCAGGAAGTACAAATGGCTCTGCCCTTTCCTGTGGAGAGTGTCCATATTTTCTCTCCAGTCCAGCTTGTCATCCAGCTGCAGCCCCAGATATTTGTAAGTCCTGACCACCTCCACATCTACCCCCTCGATGGACACAGGCTGGAGATGTGGTTTCTTCCTTCTTAAGTCCATGTAATGGAGACCAGGGGTTCCATTACCTGAAATAGTCAATTGAGTATTAAGGTGGGGGTTATTGATAAAGCAGGAGCCATACACATTGTTATTTTGATTGTTTATTTAATTTGTGAAACATTTGATAGCTGTCTTTGTGAGTGGTTCCACAGGGGGGGTCTGGCCATCCTGCCTGTGTGGAAAGAAACCTCAGTCAGTGATAGTCAAGGTTCACAATATAGTATTGACTGCTTTTACTCCATTTCAGTTAGTTGTTAAATTAGTTTAAACAAGAAGACAAACAATGTAAGTACTCACCTCTTCCTGGTTGTTCCAGTGCAAGTTGTTGTTTTGTTGCTTTTTGGTGTCAGTGGCTCCTCTTGTCGGTATGGAAGACCATAAATGCCACGTTTGTGCTTGCATTTTACCTCTGTCTCATGTCTCTCTCTGAAAAAACGTAAAGCCACCGCCAGGCCATCGGACAAGTGGTGTCAGAAGTGTGGGCTTGGAAACATTTAGATGAAATGGGAGATGATGAAGCAGGTGCTGCAGCGGACACAGGGCTTAAAAAAAGGAGGCAGCCCTGAGGATAAACTGGATGAACTTGCAGGTCTGGTCAAATCATTAATACAGTCTCAAGCAGCGAGAGATCAGCAAATAGAGAATGAGTCCGCTCGACAAGAACAAAGATGAAGAAGTATGCAACACCAGTTTCGGCAGATCCAACTCCAGGTGAATGAAATGAGAGATGAGCAACAGCAGGACCAAGACAACTTTGGAATGGATAATGACAGACAAAGTGACAGGGGTGAACCGGACGAGGGGCCTAGTATGGTGAGTCAGCAAGCAGGGGTTTTGCCCAGGCGGGAACCATTAACACAGAGAGATCCCAAATTGCTCCCGCTGACTTCAGAGGATGACATTGAACACTTTCTGACTACGTTTGAGAGGATGGCTCAAGTTTGCCGTTGGCCCAGAGAGGAATGGGCTGTTCGACTGGTTCCTCTGCTCACAGGTATGTGTTCATGGACATTGCTGATTCTGAAGTGTATGACAAGGTTAAAGATGCCATTCTTGTCAAGTATGAGATAACTGATGACACCTATCATAGAAGGTTTCGATCCCTGGACATTCATCAGAATGAGACTCCAAGAGAACTATATGTCCGTCTTAAAGACGTGTTTCACAAGTGGGTGAAACCAGAGAAATCCACTGTGAAAGACATTTCTGAACTGATGATCCTGGAGCAGTTTCTGAGGATGGTGAATCCGGATTTGGAGGTGTGGATACGGGAACGAGCTCCTAAGTCTGCAGAGGAGGCCACAAGCCTAGCAGAAGTCTTCATGTCTGCCAGAACGGGGACCAGAAGAACCACCTTTGGTCGGGACGGTTTCTTGACTAGTCGAAGTAAGTCTGATGGGGGTGAAAGGGGTGGTGGTATAGCTCAGAGTAGAAATCAGCCTAGCACTAGACAATTTACTACTAGTAAATTCAACCCTACCAAAAAGTCATATTCTGGTACAAAGTCAGATGTGAGGTGTTATCAGTGTAATCAGATTGGTCACACCCAGTATACCTGCCCAGCCACT